TGGTTTAGATGGGGTGTCTTTTCCATTTGCCAGGGCATTCTATTACTTGTCCAATCCACTTACCAGGGCCTTATATGTTAGATGTTTCATGTTAGGTTGGTTTAGATGGGGTGTCTTTTCCATTTGCCAGGGCATTCTATTACTTGTCCAATCATTCCAATCCACTTACCAGGGCCTTATATGTTAGATGTTTCATTTTAGGTTGGTTTAGATGGGATGTCTTTTCCATTTGCCAGGGCATTCTATTACTTGTCCAATCATTCCAATCCACTTACCAGGGCCTTATATGTTAGATGTTTCATTTTAGGTTGGTTTAGATGGGGTCTTTTCCATTTGCCAGGGCATTCTATTACTTGTCCAATCCACTTACCAGGGCCTTATATTTTAGATGTTTCATTTTGGGTTGGTTTAGATGGGGTGTCTTTTCCATTTGCCAGGGCATTCTATTAATTTTCCAATCATTCCAATCCACTTACCAGGGCCTTATATGTTAGATGTTTCATTTTAGGTTGGTTTAGATGGGGTGTCTTTTCCATTTGCCAGGGCTTCTATTACTTGTCCAAAGGGCCATCTATGCCCGTGCCCCACGTTGGTGGATGGATCCTGAACCCGAAATGAGGTCCAAGGGGTCCGATCGCCTACATGATGACCAAGGGTGCCCCATTGAAATTCAGAGTCCCAGGTCAGCATGTCCAGCAGTCCGTGTGGGAAAAAAACAAAAGGCATTGCAATGTCGCACCAAAGTAGCCAGTGGGACCAGCACTCTGCATGTGCGGTCAAATGGGCCCGGCTGCCCCGGTGCCGCGTCATGGGCGCGGGTGGAAATTGCAGAGAGCGTGATTGCAGCGTGCTGAAGTGGCTTCATGACTCGCAGACCGGGCTGCTCGGTTGGTGGACAGGCTTCGACCGAGCGGCCATCGTTTCGTGGGGCAGATGAAGTGGCGGTGGTCCGCAATCAGCAACTTTCAGGCAGCCGGTCTTGATTACACGGGGCCGCTCAATTCTCTTGACTGGGGATCCAGCCTGGCGTCCAGCTTTGAGCACCTTGGTGCAGGCCACTCCTACCCAGGGTTGCTTTCTGTTTCCTAAAGATTCGCTTGTTCGGGTCCACGCCATCGGCTTGTTGCACATGTTGTACCACTTGTTTTGCTTCTCCTTTTCAGAGAGGTTGGCTTTATGGGTAAACTCATGCTACACCCATGCCTGGTCATGCTTTAACATAGCAGTGGGGAATTTATTTTTTTTTCTTCCAACAACCCGCAAGGGACTCACTAAATTACTCACGTTGTGTTGGGCAACAAACAGTTTTGACTGTGGCTCATGTGTTTTCGTTGTTTACCGCTGGATGTTTAAGACTGGGCTTCGTTATTTGGCAAACATTGGATGTTTAGAACAGCAGAGCAACAAAGTACCGGACATTTGCAATATAGCCCTATTTGTTAAATGATGAAGACCATTCAATTTGGTTTAAACAAAAAGACAATGGCACTAGTTCTGAAAGTAGGGGTCCCCTAAAATGGTTGGTTCCTTTTGGTTTCCCTTAAACCCATTTTGAGAAAGTCCCATACCAGTGCCCTGTACTGTATTTGTCCCAAAGGGCACCTAAGATGCCCGATCACCCAGCTGTTCAACAGACAGATAAACGCGGGCTTAAATGAGACATGTCACGGAATGTCACGCCAGTCGCGGCTGTTTTTTTTTTGGTGAAGATACCATTGTTTGGGGGAAGGGCCAAGAGGATACCCATTGTGGGCCGTTCCAAAGTGTCAAGACAGGCCCACGTGCCTTGGAGTTTCTCTTTGCCAACGACTTGCGCCTGAAAGCGGAGGCAGACTTGGCTCGGGCAGTGATTTCAGGGGGGGCACTAGGCCCCAGCTGCACTTACTGCTTTGGTTGGCGCGCGGTACTTCAAGCCCTTACGCGCAGTACGAAATCAACTCGAGCACCAACGGAAGTGACCCCAGGCTTCCTCTAGAGTGGAAGAGAGTGCCTGAATTCACGTGGCTAAAGAGACCATGAAAAGGGATACTAACCTGGACCTTCCATTGTTACATAAGTTTCTGCTACAAACCACCCAAGGGACACCACTTTATGTAACGAATGAAGGTCCAGGAGTTCCTTTCATAGTCCTTTTCGCCACGGAGACTCTCTCTGACACGCTAAGGCAGCCGCTGCGGAGCAGCAGCGTGGCTGGGTCAGCAAGAAGCTATGGGTTGAGACCGGACAGGACCGCCACCAGGGTCACGAAAATGTCCCCTTGTTCCAAGCCTGGGTTTTTTGAGCATCTTTTTTTTGGTCCCGCTTGTGAGTATCCCTGAAGTCCGGCGATGTTGAAATGGGAAAAGTGTTCGGAGCGCTGACATTCACCCTGGTGGACCAAAAGGCTGACAGTTCAGAGGGTATGCTCCTGTTTAGCGGGAGCATCCACCAAGAACTTCGGCTGGTGCCCCCATCATGGTTTCCCTTTTCAGTGATAGTTTTCTTATGTCATCTTCATCCAGCGGTTGATTGCGCGTCGGAACTGGCTTGGGCGGACTTGTTGATGCCCCTGTGTGGTTGAATCTAGAAGGCCACCCGAACTCAGTCGAACTTCGAACTGGCGTTTTGCTTTGGGCTCATGGTGAGGTTTCTTCGCAGGGATCCGGAATAGGTGGCTCTTCACTCCTATAGCTTGTAAGCGTGCCACGTGCCAAGGCTTAGAGGCCAATGATTCAACGAAACATAGGTCAATGACTATAGGTAAGTATAGGTAAGTATAGGTATAAGCACATGGTCTTTGACTCAAATCTAGTTCACTCGATGGCGCTGGGCTATATGATCCCAGGCTTGCCGTTTTGTTTTTCTTTGATCAAGAGATGAGAAGTAGCCTGTTGCACACTGCAAGGGACATATCTGGTGCTTTGGCCAGGATCTGTTGGAACTGACGCATTCCACGAAATAATCGGCAGGGATCGTGCCAAACAAAGCGTCAGAATGTCTTTTGCCACACCTCCCAAGCCAGGAGATGCATGCTTAAATGTCTTGCAGGGGATTGTTGCCCTCCTGAATCAACATTCAGCAGAGCCTTCTGTTGTGTTTTTTCTTTGCCCGAAATCCAAGAATTATGATTCTGTTCTCCATTTTCATCACTGCCAAACAGGTCATCCTGCCAACGCGAGCCTTTTCGCAGAGATCTCTGCGAAGTTGGTACCATAATTACCCAGCTCTCCAGTGCCCTTTCTGCTCCGTTCTGTGGGGAGGTTTTTTGAAGTGCCACAGCGACCTCTGGAGGGCAGGTAATTACTTTGCCGTATCTCCATTGTTGGAACTCCAAAGGCCGTGAACATATGAATGGGGAGGCAACCGCGTTCTCTCGCACCATAGGGTGAGAAAGTAGGCATAAGGATAAACGTCCGACTTGGGTATGAAGCGGATTTCGGGGTATTCTCAGGCTGCCTTGTGGTGGTTTGGATTGGCTTGGGGAGTTGCATCCCTCCTTGCGCAGGGTGAATTGGCTTTCACCCTAGCCTCCAAACCAATCCAGGATCCACTTCTCGAGGCATTTCGGAGGAAGCCAAGCAGCGTGAGCTCAAGGCAACGAGGCTCGGAGCGATCGATGAGTTGAAGCAACTTTGTGGCTCCCAGCCATCCGGTTCCTTAGCTTTTGAGCCTTTCAGCCTTTAGTGGGGTTTCCAATTTGACCCACTACAAGTTGGACTTTTAGGGGGGGATCTGAGGACAGCCCAGGCAAGTACGAGTTTCTAGAGAATTGCAACGGGGACCAATTCAGCAATTCAGGGGTCGGTTCCGAGCTCTGCACACATGTACTCATGAACCGAAGGGAATGAGGCCACATGCCCAGTGATATTTCTATGTGACATCGGATTGATGCGAAAGACCATCAATATATGTATCAAAAGAGGTTCTCCCCCCATAATTTGCCCAGAAAAGGGGGACCACGTCGTTAGCTCAACCGGGAAATCTGAAACCCGGCTCTCACAAGGCTTCTCCTTGTTGAAAGCAACCCAGTGCTTTTCACACGCCACCACCTGGATGTCCTCCCAAGGTTCCAAGGGCTGATTGCAGAAGATGTTCTGAAAAATCGCGGCCATGTGACAATGCTTCAAAGCCAATGGTACCATGTTGAGATAGGCGTATTCACCACCCATTTTAGAACCTATTTTACTGGGGATTGGGATGTTCACTGGGGGTACGATTTGGGTTTTGACCCATGGCCATGTGACAATGTACTCTCCACGAGGCGGACGCCATGCCGCCAGATTTTTCATGCGAAGCCTTGGCTGCTATTGGGTTGGATCTTTAGACTTTACCTTTTCGGGAAACAAAGGTGTTTTCCACCAAACCCCCCAAAAAGTGAAACTTTGTGCAGGGGCGTCAAGAGCAACCAAGAAGCATGCTGCTGTTTGTTCCATGATAAGCATACCATGGTGCCCTCGATGTGGGATGTGGGCGGGGAGAAACACACAAATTGAGACACTGGAGAAAAATGTGAGTAATATCAATCCCCTTACTCTGTTTTCATGGTCACCGCGGTCGATTTTAAAGCGACTCTGCAGACAACCACGTTCTGCACTCAACACATGACATGCCCTGCATAGATTTTGCTCACTGTGCCAGCAGGATTGTCCAAAAGCAATCCTCAGTCCTAACTTTTGCCACCTGGTCATGGTTTCCCTTGTAGTTGTGTCCCACTACGCTTGTCCGCAAAATCGCAGACTCGGGATCTCCCCGCTTGGAGCCGCCTAGACCCAAATTGTGTCGATCTTCGCAGCTATGGCACTCCTTCTCGCGGGTACTGGCAATCCGGCTCCGCACGTTTCAGGCTCGAGGGATAGCCTAAGAAATCCATATTTCCACGGCTTCGGCTGAATATATCTCTCTCACATGGGTACATTGCAGGTATTGTAGAGGATCGAATTCACGCGTCTTTTTTTTTGGATCTTGAGAAGCTTGTGCATGGCAGCTACCCACTGTCACCCTGAATCTATTTGGCCAAAGACGAGAGCCAAAGCCAGCCGAAGCCTGGAAGCCCGTTGCTTGTTGAATGTCTCCGTAGATCCAGGCAAGGGCCTTAGCCTTTTGGTGTGCGGGAAGCTAAAAACCTCTTAGTTTGTGTTTGTTGTCTATTGTTGTTTATTGGTTTGTGTGTTTGCTTGTTTGGTTGGTTGGTTGGTTGGTTGTTTGTTTGGTTGGTTGGTTAGTTGTTTGTTTGTTTGGTTGGTTGTGTTGGTTGTTTGTTTGTTTGGTTGGTTGGTTGGTTGGTTGTTTGTTTGGTTGGTTGGTTGGTTGTGTGTGCGGGTGGGTGGGTGGGTAGGTGGATGTTAGGGATGACTTCGACATCCGCTCTCATGCAGAAAGGTGTGACCAAGAATTGCCTGCTGCAGGAAAGCATGGATTCACTGAGTCCATGTTTGGTGGTTTGGTTCTTCATGGTCTTTGGCTTAGTGTACAGGGAAACCAAAGGAAACCGCTCATTCAAGGAGGTCCCCTTTAGAATAGCCACAAGAACCGCAACAAGCCAGGATGCCTCAACTAGAACCCGATGCAAGATGAAGCAAGAGTTTCTCGGGGTGCTGACTATCACTACCCACCAGCATGTGGTTAGGTTTGGCGGCATGGTTTGAGCAGGCTGTTTTTTTCCTCTGAGAAGGCAATTAATGTTTGCGTGCATATCCAGGTTCACGGCAACTTCGCCCCAGATTGTTTTACTGATTTCTTAAAGCTTGGAGCATTCTCTGCCTGAAGTGCTGGGGACTGATCATGCAACCATTTGTCAGGAATGCCCGCCAGACAAATCAAGGCTTACGCTCTGCAGCTGGGCCTATAGTTTTTGAAACTGTTCCAAATCGAAAGTGGGGATGATTTCCTTTCTACCACTTAGGGGCTAGGGCCAACTAATCGCTCGAGGTACTATTGGTAGTGGCACAATGTGCAACGCCCACGTGTGGCGCTTGCAACAACAAAGACAAAGCCATGTGGTTGTGTTGTTCATATCTGGGTTCAGGCTTCGTGGATGTGTTTCGCAACACAAGCAAGGAAGCAACCTGGATGTGTCTGGTTTTTGTTTGGGTACCCGATTGCAGTGCTTTTAGGAGGAAACCACAATGGTTGGGGTGTTTCTCTATGAGGCAAACTAACATGACCCCCGCAAGCCATTATTGGGCAGGAGGGGGGGAAACCGATCCGCACAGAAACGATCCGCGCAGATCGGGTTCCGCCCTGAAGTCCACAAATGTGTGCCTCGTCGTTGCGCCTGCTGATTCTCCTTCTCCCACATGCTTGATACTTGATTCTCCTGGTAGCCATCCAATGTGCTTCGACACAACCATCATGGAATGCTGAAGGGAGGTTGTCGGGAAGTGGGTATGGAAAATCAATCCACAAGGGGACAGCAGGTTTTGGTCCATGCTATTGCCAGGGTTCCTTTTTTGACCCACGGCCAAGTGTGTTGGTCTTAGAGTCGGAGGTTGTTTCTACGGAGCACAGATGACTCGGGGGGGAGTCTCAGGTCAAGAAAGAACGGGCCTCGGGGTTGGTGGCTGTCCCATCATACCGACAAGGGAGAGTCTGAAAAGTAGGCGCAGAGCTGAATTCCGCCCACTGAAATAAATAACATACAATTATATGTAAAAGTATGCGTCTTTTTCAGGGTGTCCTTTTCATCTCGGCTTGAAGATCCCCAACTTTGAGACATACCCAACTCGCTCGATGTTCGAATGCTGAGGTTGTAGCTTCAATATGCTGCAGCTTGGCCGAGGGCGTTTGGGGTACAGAGCGCGCGCACGTTTGCGCTGGGCCAAGGGCTGCGACTCATGGAACTCGCATGGGGGAAGCAGATGTTTTGGATTCAACCTGCGGAATGAGCCAAGGCAAACACTTTTGTTGAGGATCCATTGTTTCTTTTGTTTGCCTGTTGTGTTCGATCGTGTTGGTTCGCTTGATTGATTTGCTTGAGTGGCTTGGCTTGGCTTGCTTTGTTTGTTTGTTTGCTTGTGCTCTTGATGGTTTGCTCGCTTGCTTGCTTTCGTTTGTGTTGGTTTCTTTGTTTTGTTTGTTCTTGTCTGTTTGTTGGCTTCAGAGACTACACACTCTCATTGACTCATGCCCCACGGCGAGCAAGGCCTCTCGTCCTGCTGCCATGGCTGGCAGCGGCATCTTGGCCCAACTTGAAGTTTTTCAGGGGGGTTCCTGGTGGATGGATGGGTGGGTGGATGGGTGGGTGGATGGGTGGATGGATGGGTGGATGGATGGGTGGATGGGTGGGTGGGTTCTGCACAGGTTCAGCAAGTTTATATACCCTTGAGTGAGTGCCAGCTCGAGCCTCGTGCAAGGAAAATATGTTTTCTCGCTTGTCCTTCGTTGCCAGTTTGTGAGGGCAACTTCGAAACAGCCTTCCAGCAAGCAGCATGTTCAAGTGCGAGGTCGTGCCGTGTGTGGAACCCGGGTCTGAATGCCATTTGTGTTTCACACTGGCAATTGCCTTGGGACACAGTGCGCATCAGTGCACACATGGCTCCGCATCAGGCTCCATCCCTCGGGTGCAGGGTCGCCTCTTAAAGGTTTGCAGCTCATACTGGTTCCCCTGAAAGGCCCAAAGTGGATCCTCGCTTTGACCCGATACCGTTTTACTGTGCCTGCCTGCACAGTAATCATGCCAGCTGGTATTGCTTGGGCGTTCAGTCCACTCAGCAAGTAGTTTATACTCAGGGATATACATATTGCGTATAGTGTGAACAGACCATTCGCCTGTCTTACTTTAAACATGTGAACTCGCTCCCGCCTGGACGCTAGGAGGAGGTCAAGGCGCTTTCGATAGTAATACATATATATATATATAATAGTGCTTATGTAGGTCTACACTTTTACCAGGAAAATGACCACCCTCTTTACCTCAGTTGTAACCCTGGCAAACACCCACTTGCAAAGTGGCTTGAAGGGCAATTCATGTGGGGCAATCAGCTGACAGAGATGTGTTTGGCTGCCCGAATTGTGGATGTTTATTGGGGCATGGGTTCTCCATAAAACCGCCAAACAGGGCCGCCCACGCCACATGTCTCATGCGAGCGGAGGAGGGAACAACATGGATCACGGCACTCAACTTTGACAGCAGCTTTTAGCTTACCATGCTTTGCATGGACCGTGCGAGTGAGAAACTGAGGCCCTAGCCTGCCCTAATGCAAATGAGTCAGCTGGCAACAATGGTGGATGACTGAGAAAGCCTCGTCGCCCAGCATGTGGGGATGTGTCAAAACTAGGGCTTCTTCTTGGAGACGGTTCAAACAAACAGTTGTTTGAGAGGATCTCTCCTTTTGACGAGGGTGAACAAAATCGGCCATGCGTGATTCGTAATTTGCTCCGAAATCATGTAATCCACCTCTGATTGATTAACAGGTTGCCACAGGAGATATTGCACTTTTGACGGGAACACCCCTGAGGTGCTACTTAGATCCAGGGTCAACATTCATAGTCAAACAATTCTGGCTGGTTCCCCTAAAATCGTTGCCTTCCCCTTTCAGTGGCACTTAAAGTCCCCATGACCTAACTTGATTGCTATTGGGTTGGATCTTTAGACTTTAACTTTTGAGAAATCAAAAAACATGCTTGCCATTAAACACACAAACAGTGAGAGACTTTTTGCAGAGAGGTCAACAGCAAGGATTGATGGTGCAATTTGCAGAATCCTTTTGAGAAAGGACTGAGAATCGTAGAGAATCTGAGGGAGATGTGGCCATCATGTGCAACCAAGCTAAAGTCAAGGGCTCTGAGTCCATGCGGCGAGTGCTCCGGGAGCTGAGGCCAGTCCGCAGCTGATCCGAAAGCATCCGCTGGGCACTCAGGTGGCGCGCGGCAAGACCGAAGAGGGAGGTCTCCTCTGAAAGTGTGCCGGCGGTTTTGTTGTTGTTGATGATGCTTTGTTTCATGTGTTGTTGTTGTTTTTTTTGTTGGGGGTGTTTCATGTTTTTCTTTGGGGGGGAGGGGTGTTCCTTCGTGGGGATTTTCCCTCGATTCACAGTTGGTACGTTGGTTGCCGGTTTGGCTCATGTCTTATGGGTGGCTGAGAGCACACCAGGGCTTCCAATGCCGGGGCTTGGGAATGACCCGCCGCGAACCTGGGGCGGCATCGTTTCATTCATTTCTTTGTGTCTGCTTAAACATTGCTGGTCTTCTAAACAAGCTGTCCCCGTCGAAAATGGGGTTCAGTAAGTTGCTTGAGAGGACAATGTCAACAATCATTTGTTTAGCCCCAAGGACAGATGCGAGGTCGGGAAGGGCTTCAAATAGCTTCATCTATTGCCTATGCAGCCCATGCAGTGTGGTTGGTTCGTGTCAACGGCTTTTGCCCACAAGGGAAACAAGCTGCGCCTGCACATGCAGGGACACTTCAGTGTGAACTTTACGAGCCTTTCTCCGATGAAGCAAAGCAATCTCAGAGTGGCAAATTTTTAAATAGGACATGCGTACCGCACCCATCGCAGCTCCTTTTTGGTGGTAAGGTACAGTGATATATTGTTCAAGTATTGCAAGGTCAGAACAAGAAACGCCCTTGCATCTTACCATGGACGTTGGGTTTACTTGCATTTAGGAAATCCATAGGAAAACCATATGTGTATGCTTGCGGGTGTCTATTCCTTGAACCGCTTCGTTGGTAACTGGGGCAACCTGTGTTCGGCCCTGTTGACCGAAGGACCAATAAGCTGGGGATTCCCTTAGGAAACTACAAGTTCTTGGCCTGTTTTCTGGTTTTTTAGTTGTTTGTTTCTGTTCATTTTACTGGGGGTCTGCAAAAAACAAAGTTCTTTGCTACCATACCAAGAGTAGAGATGGGATGGTTCAGAAGGGTCATCCCTCATTCCCTGCTGAGCACCAGCAAGTAAGTTGGAATAAGTTGGAACATGCCATTTGGAGCGCATTCCTGAGGCCGCATCACGTGCTGAGCGTAGCCGCCCACGGGGAGTTGAATGTCGGAGCCTCGGGGACCAGGCCAACTAAGTTTGGGTGTGGAAATTAGAAGGTTCGGAAAAGAAGCACCCACTTTCCGGCAGTCATTGTCAACATACCCTTTGACCTGGGCATGGTCATGAACCCTTGGGGTGCTTACCCTCCCTCCCACAATGGATTGGGAAGAGTGCCATTTTGAAAAGGTGCCAATATCAGCACTTCCAGGAATGGAAAAATAGTATCTCTGGGCATGGGAGTCCCCCACTGGCCAGATCAGCAGACGATCTGCTTGGTCTACTGTTGGCTTTGGGGAGGACCTTGGGGACAACCTAAAGTTCCTACAAAGTCTAGGGGACAACCCGGCTGTTCCATGTCCTCTTGGAAGCAAGGTACGAGAGTCCAACTCCCAAGTGGCCAAGTCGACTGGTCTAAGCAAATTGGCAACCTCACGAGGGGATTGCTACAAAAAGCATGAAGGTTATTTTTTGGAGTGTCCGTATTTCCGGTTAGTAAATGATTGCCATATCCAGACGGGTTAATGATGGCAGTTTCAGTGCCATTCAAAGGGCTTTGCTTTAAATGGCACAATGTTTGGGTGGTAGATCCCAGAGTTTGCAGGTCGGCGAAAATCATCCCAGTGCCGACCCTTGATGATAGCTTTCTTGGCGGGAAAGCCATCTAGGGCACTGTTCCACCTATTTGCGATCCCCTTACGCGGTCAGTAGGAAACACGTCCCACCCGTGTTGGCTTGACATGTTCAATACATATGCAATGGCGGTGTCTGCGTGGTTGCGTGGGCAACTGTGGTTCTACTGCATGTCGGCGTTACCCAACTGCTGTAGTTCTTGGCTTTGTGTGTGAGCTTGTGAGACATTGGCCAGATGGTAGAAGGGCTCTCCATGTTGGCATGGCGCTTTCGGCCACATGCAATTGGGACCCATACTGTTAGCGGTGTCCTCTTTTAATTTTCTTGTTTTTAAGGTTCTCTTCAAAATCAAGTACCCAAAAAAGTATTATTTCTCTTCCAATGGATCCGGGAGTCATTCAGCTGACAGGCCAAGCCAGCAAGCCACTGCAGGAGGTTTGGACAAATGATTAGTGTCCTTCCACATGTGTGTACGTTTGAGCAAACCCCCTATTGTTCAGTGACATCTGGATTCGGAAGCCACAGGTTCCCTATGTCTACCATCACTGAACAGCTAGGGCAACGGCTCGCAAGAGGGTATGATTGTTTTGGGGAGCCGATGATTTGTTTCGAGCTTGAACAAGACTGCTCATGCATCTCATCTTGCAGAGGAAAAAAAGAGCACATCTCACTCGACCGGCTGAAAAAGTCTCAGGAAGAGCGAGCTCCTACAGGCTGGACCGGCTGCTGTAATTGGGATTTCCCTGAGCCACGATGACCAGCGTCACATGGGCGATGTGGATACGAAGTTTGGTTGGAGATGCTTTGTCATTTGGAAGAGATGTATGTCCAACATTTGTGGAGGGTCATTAAATGTCATAGCCGTGTGCAGCGTTTTTTCTCGGTGAGCACGGCCGCGTAGGTATGGCTTCCCAACTTGCAGGGATCCGGGATCCTTTTTGCCAGAAAGCCTAACTCAAAAGGCACGGGCCCAACCGCAGGTTTTGTATGGCTGACAAGAATGAGGTATCAACCCCTAGACGGATCAATCCACTTCACATTTGCGAAGCGGCCCCGAACGACTCATTTTGCCTCGTTCCAGGATTATGACCATTCTGAAGACACGATTGACCAGCATGTCAAATAAGATACATTCCCCACCGACTGGAACAGGAAACTCATAGACTCGGAAGTTTCAGGCAACTGCTCCTCATTTGCCAGCTACTTGTATACCGTCATCCCATACTTGAAGGCACTCCGTTCCAGGACGTTGCACGCTCTCAAGAAGGTTACTACTTTCCGATGATAGGAGCCTCTTGACTCGGAGCAAAGAAAGCCATGCCCCACGAAACTGAAGCTGTGGCCCTGGGCTGTTGAGGATTGCAAGATGTTTCTGGGGGGAGTTGGCAACATGTGGCTGCGGGTCATAGCCTATGCCTCCATTTTGGGGCAGATGACGCCCATGCACCACCTATTTTGATGTTCACCAGGGGTACAGTTTGTTTTGACCCACAGCCATGTCTGCGTCTCTTAAGTTAGGATACGCTGGAAACGAGCGAAGTGTTTCCCTTCACACAGCTGTGGGCTTTAAGCTATCGTTTCAGCTGTAACACACAAGGTCTTCACTTTTTCTGCGCAAGCGACTCAGGAGGAGAGCTTTGCTTTTCCTTTACAAGCCCAGAAGAGTAGCGGGCCGAAAACAGAGAATCCAATGGGCCAACTCTTTGACCGAGTTCTTGTAGGTGGTGCAGACGATCGCACCTCACAAAAGGGGCCGACGCCCATGTTTCCGCCGATGTTCCACCGATCTCGGGGTAAAACGAGCTCACCATGACTGGGGGTTCATTTCTTGTCTCAGGTTGTGGAACTTGAATTTGTTTGCTGATGTTTGAATTCCCCCCCCCCCACGTTTCTTACAATCGCGAGGTTTGAACGGCGTGGAGTGATACGATTCGCAGGCCACAAGTACCGGCATCTGGCTGGCCTGAGCGCGGCCTTTGAGGACTGGATGGATGTCTAGTGTTGGCTCATTTGGGTTGTCGTTGGTATTGTTGGCTTTTCTTGATACTTCACGTAGTTGCCCGTTTGCCACACCCGTTTGCTTGATAGGCATTGATGGTTCGCTTGCTGGTCACTGATAAAAACGAGGAAAAAGGGACGTTGCTTACCTCAAGCTGAAGATGTGAGCTGCAGACTGAGTGCCGACGAACATGAGCTGTGGTATGTCTGCAGACCTGTCTCGCAGGACTACGAGGGCGTTTGATGCAATAGCACACATTGCATCAGACGGGTGAGGATAAGGCAGAGATAGAAACGCAGCCGTGCGCCGTGAGTACTTGTTGCGGAGCCGTGGGCGCTTCAGAAGAGTAGCACATTGCTGGCGAGGTCTTGGCTTGTGCAGGCCATTCCCCTCAACATCAACTTGCCCAGCTATAGGTTAAAGCCCGAATTTCGCGAGCCGTGCCACAAAGCAGCCTCATCAAAGCCATGTCAAGTTTGTTTTGCTTTAATTTTCATTGATTGACAGTTCAACGTGATCCTCACTTCTTTATCCCGTGTCGCTTGCATCATCACCCGGTATACAGTTGTCTGTCATCCCGCGCTTCTCCACGGACAACAGCCGCAGGTTCTACTATATCCACTCGGAGGCCAAGACACGTGATTCACTTTGTATACCTGGATCTACTATCTCCACTATGTCCACTGGACCAAGCAAGTGGCAGCATGGTCCTTCCTCTTGCCATGCTATTTGGGTCACAATTGGCGGCTGTTTGAGTACTTGCACAGTTGTTCATTAGATTCAGCCGAAGTTTGAGACTCCCCACACAAAAGAGCCTCAACCCACCAACAGAAACATGCTCGCCCTGTCCAAAGTCGACCTGACCCTGTTTGCGTTTCCAAAGAAAGGGCACTTACTCTTGGGTACCATTGAAGTATTTGTTGGAAGCCCTCTCGGACACTTGCGTCTTTCGTTTTGACTTTCCTTTAAACCTACCCGAAAAAGGGGTATGTGTTGGTATTCTACGTGTGCTTCGGTGGCGAATATGAAGCACACAGCAAAGGCGTTACTGCAGGAATGTATGGTCAGCTGTTCGAGTCCAGTAGAAGCCGTTCATTCTGGCGTGTGCGCAGATGCGTTCATCGCTGTGTAGTGAAGGTGCGCCCAAAGACGGAACGGACAGAAGGCGAGGGAAAAGATGGCCTGTTCCTTCCATGCTTGCCACTCCCATCCGATAGTCCTGGAAAGTGGTTTTTGCGCCTCCATTCGTATTATCATTGCGGAAACAACTGGCATGTTTCTCATCATCACGTTCCCATCATACCCATTTCATAGGCCTGGAAGATGCTGTTGCCCTCTTCAAAGGATTTGGTTACCGGAGAATCACCAAAACACCGCAAACAGGCTGTTCTGTAGAATTTCCTGCAACCCCCTTGGACCTTTGCTCGCACAGGAGATGAAGGCCATCACGAAGAGAGCTGAGGTGCGGGGCGCCGGAAGGGAAGCCCGATCGATCGCCGACCTGATCTCGTGTTGCTGTTGTGCCTCCTAAAGGCGCATTGTAAAGTTCATGGGCTATAGCATATCTTATGGTTTTAAGAACACATACGGTTCACGAACCGGGGTGGAATCTAACATATGACTTTTGGTTGGGGAGAAACACTGAGGTAGCTCTTTTGAGGTCTGTTAGAAACCTCTCCGGTTTGCTGACCACATAACCTTCTGGGGGGTTCAGCCGACCTCTCTTGAGGGGTTCTCTTTGTGTTTGTGAACACAAACAAGCCAGAAGTCTAGAAACCCTTGCGAGGGGGTCCCATATTTTTCCTCCAGGGGGTTCAAAATGTAGACCCCGAAAGGGCCATGGATGGGCTTTGCTCAGTTGGAATAGATCTGAATCCTCGGTTTGGGATTGAGCAAGGACCTCTTAGGGGTTGCCATGTCGAATGGGCCACGGCCCGGCGCTTTTCCATGAGGAACATTTGTGAAGGGGCATGGTCAGGCTTGCCCCTGAGACAAGCAAGGAAGATACTGTACGCATCAGCGGATTTGCAGGCGCCGGTTGTCCTATTCTTGCCAAGCGCCTTTTAGTGGAGTCCCCGCATCCAAATTCGGGGTTAATAGCTTTTGAGTGCCTTCTTGGTCCTTGGGGCCCCCTGACAACGATAGGATGTCGGGTTTTTTGATGTCGAGAAGTCTCCGGCGGCTTCTTGTATACTCCCAAAGCTACTGTGGATGGACAAACTCCACTTCGTACCACTAGGGATGGATGAAACCCCATGAAAACTGGCGATACACCACCTACCCTCCCACCAATTGACATGGAACCTGATGTTCGGGGGGTTCTGTTTCGGACCATTTTCCTTTGTGACCAGGTCCCGAACGAAAGGCTCCTACCCAGAAAATCCTGGGGCTTTCAATGGAAGACCCGACCCCATTAGACACCCCGGAGGTGGTCGGTCCCAAAACCCGGTTGTTTGAAGGCCCTAAAATAAACCGGGAGCCTCTGGAGTTGGCCCACTGGTGCCGGATATGGCTGTGGCTCAAGAAACCGGTACCAAAATGAAACCCTGGTAAGTGGAAACATGAACCAAAACCTGCGTAACCCCTCCTGGTTAATTTTGAGCCACACCCATATGGTTCATTGGCCGCTGAATTCCAACCTGTGCCGCGTCTCCGGCTCAGGCCCCCGAGGCGCGGCTTCGATGTGTGTTCCGTGGGATCGCTGCGAGTGCCAGGGTCTCTGAGACATGGAATGACCCCGAGATAAACCATCCAACTGGTGGTTTCCTTGGGCACCATTTCCAGGGTTCCTGGGTTCATTCAACCACATTCCCGACCTATCGCACCAGAAAGTTAAAGGGTCACTTTTGGATACCAAAAGTCCAAGATGCTGGACTCCAAAGCGGATTCTGGATAGTAGACCATTCTGGACACCCTTCTGGACACCATTCTGGACACCTTGCTGGACACACGATTCTGGCCCATGTTTTTGTTTGGTTGCCTGCTTCGAAGCAGGCGCTGGTTGGAAGCCAGTGGAAAGTGTCGGGAGCGGGACTTGGGAATGGCTTATGACATTCCCGCTGGCTCTCTCGACTCTCAACCCAGTCCCCGCAAATTATTTGGTTTGCCCAACTGTTCCACTTGGAGGTTGGCTGAGCTCACGCTGACCGCAGATTGGAAACTCCATGATAATCTGCAAAGGGTATATGAGAGATGCCGGTGAGCTTGCCATGAAGTAGGCAGGGGGTTCTGACGAGGGACGCTTCAAAGCAGGTGGTTGGCTTTCTTTCAGAACTGTGGTTACCACTGGAAACCATCCACAAAGAGCAGGGGTCCTCACGGAAAGTTGTGAAACCCTTCGATGAGTCCACCCCTGATAGTACCGCCTACAACTTGTGTATCCAGCGAGAAGCATGGCAGCGGCCTTGCATTGAGCCATTCACGTGGCAGTACCGAAGACTGCTTGAGACCAGAAAGAGATGTTGAAGGCTGAATGCAGTTCATTTCCCCCTTGCTACAGCCAACGGTAGCTGTTGGCAGAGGGTCTAAGTTTGGCCAAGATTGGAGAATTTGATGAAGTCTGGCGGGCTTGCAAAGCACTCTCTGCCGCAGGATGTCGCAAGCACTTCAACCGATGAGTGCGCCCTGGCGCTAGATGATGGACGTTTGAGGCTTCATATCGCCAGTATCTGCAGAGGGTGCAACTTCCCATCAGCACTGCTCAAAGCCTACGTTGGCCATTTTAGTCCGTGTCTCTCCTGGCTGAACTTTGATCTTTCAGTGCCAGTCGGTGCAGGGTCGGCCAAGGCTTCCAATGACCCTGGTACCGTCAAAGTGACATCTCACAAGGTTTGGGAGTATCTCCAAGTAGGGGCCTCTTTTGGGCAGCCAACCACCTGGAGGAGCCCCAATTCGAGCAACTTTCGGTTGTTCAAAGTATCCAGTCAATTCGGCAGAGACATGGGGCACTCCCCACACAAACACCGAGGCACATCTGAGCACATTGCATTTTTAACACCAGAGATAAGGGATCCCCAAGAAAGCAGCTTGACCGTGAGCTCGTCTTCTTCGCGGACCGGCGAGCGTGTCATAATGCGCAGAAAATGCGGCACTTGATCAAACAATTTGGTATCTTGATGTAATCTACTTTCATTCTTCACTTGGATGGTCCTGAGTCCCTAAGAGGTCGCGGCCATTTGGAAGATGAATTCGCAGGTGCCTTCTTCTTTTGCAACAGTCAATTTGCAGAGCCAAGCAAATATGGTATGCTCAAAACTGCATAAACACCCCCACTCCCCGCCCCATCTTGAAAATTTCGAACCCACGTACAGATACATGATATTGGCACCGCTTTGCGGGTTGGTTTAACAGCAAACCAACAGGAAAGCGTTGCGCCATATTGACGGCTCCCACTTTGACACATACTTGTTTGGGTGTGTCTTTTTGGAGGGTCCCAGTTTTTTTTTTTGGGGGGGGGAAGGGTAAAATGGGAAGCCAAGAGGAAAACACCCATTTTTCTAGCCTTTTCTTGTCATGGCCCTCACCCTCTCTTGTGATGCGGGCCGAAAGCCGTTGGGAATAAGATGCGCTGAGGCCCAAGTTGGAGGTGATCTCAGAAACCTCTAAAACGCCAGCCGCACACCTCCCAAAAGCGCGGATGAAACACCCACTTGGTTGATCCAAAGGTTCTTTCCAGAGGACCATCCGGGAAAAATGAAAGAAAAGGACCATCCGGGAAACTATAAAAGAAAAGCTGACCAACTCACCAAAGGGGAAAAGTGACCCATGGTCAAACCTGGGGGGGGTCCTACTTGTACCGACAAACGCAACGCTAAATGGGAAAAGTTGTTACCCGTGGTCATTTTGGGGCCCGAAGGATGGAATATTGATCAACCCCCATTGCCCCCGTGCCCGGCCAATTCGCGTCGAGCTTTGAAAAAATCCGAGGCGCCGGCGCTGGTGCGGAGTGCAAGAAGGTGGTGGACTTCCTCGGTGACAAGCTGCCCGTGGCCCCCTGGGCGGCACCCAGAACCAAGAAAAGAGTTGTGCTTGCTTATGCTTGCTTTGTTTTTGTTTGGTTGATTGTTTGTTGTGCGTTTGTCTGTCTTGTTGTGTGTTTGTTCTTTTTTGGTGGGCTGTCCCTTTTTTGGTTGATTTCAAAGTTTGGTTTATGGTTATGCTTTTTTTGTTTTGTTTTTGTTTTTTTGTTATGTGGTATGCGATGCGTCGTTTGGTTGCTTGTTTGTGTTGTTAGTTTTTGAGTTGGCGTGTCTTGTTTGCGTTGTTGGGTTGTGTGGTTGCTTTGTTTGTGTTGTGTTGTGTTTGCTTTGTGTGCTTGTTTGTAAAGTGTTCATTTGTTGTTTGTTTGTGTTTTGTTTGATAGTTTGCTTCTTTGATTGTTTGCTTGTTTGTTTGTCTGCCTGTCTGTTTGTTTGTTTGTTTGCTTGTGGCTTTGTGTGTTTGTTTGTTTGTCGGTTGTTGTGTTTGTCCTTTTGTTGTTTTTGTGTTTCGGTTGCTTGCTTGTGTGTGTGTTTGTTTGTTTGTTTGTTTGTTTGTGTGTTTGTTTGTTTGTTTGTTTGTCTGTTTGTTTGTTTGTTTGTTTGTTTGCTTGTGGCTTTGTGTGTTTATTTGTTTGTCGGTGGTTGTTTTTGTCCTTTTATTGTTTTTGTTTTTCGGTTGCTTGCTTGTTTGATTGTTTGCTTGTTTGTTTGTCTGTCTGTCTGTTTGTTTGTTTGTTTGCTTGTGGCTTTGTGTGTTTATTTGTTTGTCGGTTGTTGTTTTTGTCCTTTTGCTGTTTTTGTTTTTCGGTTGCTTGCTTTTGTGTGTGTGTGTTTATTTGTTTGTTTGTTTGTTTGTTTGTTTGTTTGTTTGTTTGTTTGTTTGTTTGTTTGTTTGGTTGTTTGTGTGTGTGTTTTTTTGGTTTGATTGTTTTTGTGTGTTTGATTGACTGTTTGTTTGTTTGTTTGTTTGTTTGTTTGTTTGTTTTTCTGTTCGTTTGATTGATTGATCGATTGATTGATTGATTGATTGGCTGACTGCCTGACTGACTGACTGACCGACCGACTGACTGTTTCCCTTGATTCTCTGTTTGTTTGTGTGTCTGTTTGTTTTATTGATTGATTGTCAGTTTGCCTGTTTGTTTGTTTGTTTGTTTGTTTGTTTGTTTGTTTGTTTCTCGATGTTTGCTTGATTCTGATTGTTTTTCGTTTTGTCGGGTTTGCCTGTGTGTCCGTTGTTTGTCTGTCCGTTTCTCTGTTTGTTTTGTTGTTCTGTTTGTTTGTTTGTTTGTTTGCTTGCTTGCTTGCTTGTTTGTTTGTTTGTTGTACATGGTGGCGGAAGGTGAGAGTTGTTTGCTTTGAACCTCTTGCGTGCTGAGAATGGTGGAATCATGCGACAGAGATTGTCTGCATCGATGGGGCCTTCGGGGCTGGGAATTCGGGCTCAGAAGTCATACGTTTTGCTGATGTATTTCAGTGGGTAGCTGCTTGACACTTGGGGGAAGGGAGTTGGAACAGATTGGACTCACGAATCAAGCTGGGGCTGGCCTCGTCTGTTTCCTCTGGCTTTCTGCGGGCGGAACCTGTCCTAATTGTAAGCTCACTTGTGATGAAGGCTCTTTACTTGGCACTGGCTTATTTCCAGCTTATTACTCTCGCTTTGTCCAGATCTATCTCAGGTCTCAGTAGCCATCTTTTTCTTTTTTGGGTGCTCTTGGCATCGGATTTACGAGGCTCATGTGCAGCAATTCAGGCTTCGCCAATTTACGCAGGGGTGAGTTCTCGGCATTTGAATTTGGAACAGATGCATGTCAGACTTCAGTCGCCCGTTTTCTTGGTGGCAGTCTCAACATAGTCAAGTCAGAATTTGTCACGCACAGCTTTAGACATCTGAGCTGAGGAAAAGGACGAGAAGCTGCAATTCCTTTGTGCGCCCGCGGCACTGGACTGCCTCAGCGCCAACATGGACAAATGCCGAGCCGTTCACGTGCCATGCAATGAACAGAGCTGTAAAACTGTGAGGACGAATTGCATTGGACTCCTTTGGCCAGTTCTGGGGATTCGACTCTTGAAGTCTCTTCTTGTTTGGAGGGTTCCATAGCCAAGCAGAGGTGAGTCATCATCATCATCATCATCAGCATCATCATCATCATCATCATCATCATCATCATCGTCATCGTCATCGTCATCGTCATCATCAGCATCAGCATCATCATCATCATCATCATCATCATCATCATCATCATCATCATCATCACCATTAGCAAGCCATAAATATCGTGACACGCTGACATTGTTGTAAATCGCAACATGTCTGTTGCTGTGACCTTCTGAGTCACATGCATTCCATCTCTTCATCGCATCAAACATGTTTCGGGACCACTTCTACCACAACCAGCTCTAAACATACAGCTAGCATAGCGACAACGCCATATGGATCTCAACCTACCCAGCGACCCGAACGTTAGAAATGGAGACCATTTTGGGGCTGGCCAGTTTAAGAGCTTGCACTCATGCTTGGACATCCGAGATCGAGTGAGCGAGAGAGGGAGAGCAGGCACCTTATCACAACATTTCTTCGGTTTGGCTTGTGAGAGCCTCCAAAACTATGTTATACTTTAGAGTTGACTAGATATGAAACAGAAGGTGCGCCGAGTGTCCAAATTTCCATGAGAACACTTTCGGTTGGAGCGGGGAGCGCCAGATGGGCCCATGCGGTTCCTGCTTGAGTACGACAAATATACCAGGCTCAGTGGATCCATTGCCATAGTAGCTCACCCAGGGAACCATTCTTCAAGCACAGAAATGACAAACGCTTGCTTGCCTACTCCTCATGGTTTCTGGGATTTACAGGGAGGGTATTGGCTATTGGTTTATGGTACTCCCCCATGATTTCAGGTTGGGGCGCAGGTTTAGGATGCGGGTCCTTTTTGCTGGCCAAATAGACCAGGCAAGACATCAGCTCGCTTGAGCTGGACATGAGTTTGTTTGAGCATTCCACTCAAGCAAGTTTAAAAGGAAAACGACTGGGTCCAAAAGCAGGGCCACGGAGCGCCCTTTGATTTACCTCTTTGATTATAGGATCCAAGCACTGATTCAGTGATTCAGGCCGTTGCGGGAAACCAGGATTTGGATCCTATGAGTTCTACCGTGTGCCATGCACAAAAGACCCTTTTATTTGGGAACAAACCCTTCGTCGACAAACACGACGGCCTGCGTAAGGATTCCCTGCAAGGGAACCAGGACCATGGCAAAAATAATCCCTATGATTTGGTTGCTTCGGTTTTAGCCTTCAACCACTTCAACACAAACAGATGACCATGGCCCACATTTGAGTGTTTTGGCCAGGCACAAGTTGTCCGCGGTCCATTTAAGAGGGACATGGGGGAGTTGCTAAACGTCCTCACAAAACCAGGGGACTCACTCATTTTTCCGCCGCATGGCTAAGGAGCAGCTCAGTGCGCTGCAGCATCGCTGGCAGTGTGAAGCCGTGAAGTGCTCCAAGTCAGGCCTGGCAGATGTGGTCTCCAGGTAGAAATGAGTGTACCCCGGTTTGGGTGGCTTTAAATGGAAACTAGACTGTGAACCGAAATCATTTTTTGGGGGCCCCCTAAAAAAGCCACCCTAAAAGGTAGTTTCTCCAAATGGGAGTCGGAGCCCTTGCTGGTTGGTATTCAAACGGAATCCAAAAAGGAACCAACCCTTTTTGGGGACCCCTATCTTCCGAACCCCACAAGAGGGTCGATCAGAAGGAGGTTCCGCTAGAAATCATGGCTGTTTGGGGTCCATGTTCGTTTGCGAAAGAGGCACCCAGGGGACAAGGCCAGGTTGCAAGTCACACTTATCCGCTCATGAAGCAGCTCACAAAGTATGGAGGTCGCCTAAGTCTGTGGCAATCTCTTGATATTAGATGGCTGGTTTTGCCTTCAAACTGCCACTTTAGAGAACAGCCTTGAGGATGTAACTTGAATGGACGATCCATGCCTTTGCCAGGCCCTGACTGCAGCATGACAGTTCTGTACCTCGAGATGGACGCGCCTTGCCCATCAGAAATGTGGGGGGGCAGCTCGGGTGCAACTTGTGGAAGACCTGAGCCTCGTCTCCCTGTTGCTTCCTGAAGATCCAAACCACCGGACGTCCCATTTAAGAGCTATTCCAACCCACTTTTTGGGGAAGCCCCCCCCCCACTTGTCCACCAGGCTAATTGATCTTCAGATATTTGGGGTCAACATTAGCTTGAGTGTAACCTTCACTGGGCTTTAGTGCCTTGAGATCAATAACTTTGCGGGTTCCGCTGTTTTGTCACATGCTCGGAAACATGAGGCCTTTGTCGTGGTTCATGGGACATATCGCTGCAATCAGACGACAAATGATCAGCCAGAAGGAAATCTAGCTGAGCGTTGGTTTTGCTTGCGGTTAGTGTGTCGCATTTGTTGCAGCTAGTTGAGGCAACATGTGGTGCGCTTTTGTTTGGCCTCCGGGCATGCCATGGGAGGTGTTTGTTTTAGACCTGGTCATAAGTACTGCAGGGGTAGGTGTTTGCTGAACACATGTGAGAACCCTTTAGGTTCGGACTGCCCCGTCCAGTAGCCCACTCTTTCTTGTTCTTTTGATTGCATCGATCACTTCTAACGACATCACTGCCTTCACAAGACGGGCATTCACGCATGCCCGCTGCCACCTTGTTTAGAACCGTTGCTGGAGTTCGCTAGCGCGCTTTGTATTAATGTCTACTGTATGCCTTGGAGCAACCCACCGGTTTGCTTAGAAGACAAAGGAGCGCAATATGTTGGAAAGCAGTCTTTGTAATGTCTTTGTCAAGCCTGCTTAAAGTACCTTTTTCATTGGATTTTCGTTACCACTACAGAAGGCAATCAGCCATTGTCCTATATAGGTTGGATTTTCAACGGATGTCGACAATCGCCACTTCTTATTCATGTGTGCTAGGATCTGTGTGTTGATTGGCTTTATTGTCAGCACTTTTAGGTTGGAACAAGTGGCCCAAGTCTAATTCCGACGATTGTTCTTGACAAGTGAAGAAAAGCCCCAAGTTGGTGAGCTTCCCGCCCAAGGATCATCAGCTGTCCGAAGACCAGAGGAATCGCAAGACCCGGTTCCTTTGTGCCTTGGTCGTGGCGTCTTTGCCTTCGGAACCCCTTACGCCGAGCCGCTCCTAGAGGATGATCAGCGCTCAAGGGTTTCCTTTGCGTTTCTTTGGTTTTCTTTGGTTTTCTTTGGCTTTGCTTTGGTTTCCTCTGGCTTTGCTTTGGTTTTCTTTGGTTTCTTTTGGTTTTCGCTGGCTTTGCTTTGGTTTCCTCTGGCTTTGCTTTTGTTTTCTTTGTTTTTTTGTGTTTGCGCTGGCTTTGCTTTGGTTTTCTTTGGCTTTGCTTTGGTTTCCTCTGGCTTTGTTTGGTTTAAGTGTTTAACTGGTTTCTTTGGGCGTTCGATGTGTTCCTATGCTATGGACAAATTGTGGTTTGCCCCGGTCTTTGGAGCAATCCTGAAGCCGTGGCCAAAAGTCGAGGAACCGCACGGGGACCCCTTCCTGGTTTGTGCTGGAGGTCCCCCGGAATCAACCATTTTGAAGGGGGACAGCGAATCAATCATTTGCGGGCCCCTTTCTTGGGGAACACTCATGTCGGTCATTTGGAACAGTTTATGAAACATTGAGTGTGTGAATGGGCACTGCTGGGGAATGGGGAAGCAAGCTCGGAAGAATGCCTAGAGGTATTAACAAGACTGAAATCAAGCAGTCTTGAAAGGTTTATCATAACTGTAAGTGGTTGAAAAGACATGCGATGTAAACCATCGGTGCGACTGACTTTATTTCCGCCCAATTCTTGCCAGTGTGTCTTCCTTGCCGGGCAGCATGTGTGAGAAATGTATGCATCCTTCCGCTTGGCTTGGACAAAGTAATCCTTTGGTTTTGTACTTTACCATTAGCATAACCAACAAGAGATGGCTATTTTTTTTCCAGACCCCAATCCAACACCCAGCTTTTGTCCGGGCCTTGTCAAATTGACGCCCCACATTTCCCTCAAATCTCTTTCAGGGCTCAACCATCAACTGGTTGCTAACCTTCCGCGAGTTGCCAACTCTTCAAGGAGTCACATCCGAAAGTCCCTCCCGGGAGCGCGGGAGGTGAAGGACATCGGGAACGGAAATCCGATATGAATTCATTAGGTCTTCTCCTTTTAGTGTAGACTGGATATGGAGCAGAGTCAGAAAGTCGTATGTTGTGTGCGGGTCGTTGGTTACTCAGGTCGGCTTAAGCTTGCGTCTGGCGCGAGCATTTTGGCCAATGTATTGAAGTCCTTACTTCGAGTTTTCATGGAAGAAGCTAAGCTTCCAGTAACATAGACTTTTTCTTGACAGGGATGGTTTTTGTCAGCATCGTTGCGTGCACGTTGCCCCCTGACTCCAAAAGGTGTTACCCTGAAATCCTGGCGTTTACATGTATACCTTTGGCAAGTGGGTATGGTGCGAGGGGGGCAGGGGATTTTGGTAGGGCACATGTGCTGACTTACCGTGTTTACGCTGCTCAGGACTCCATTCTGGATGTGCTGTGTTGTCGCGCTCTTCCTTCCATCTTGAGGATACAAAACTATACTCTCAACGTAGGGATGTCAAGTCGCTTGGATGTACCGATTTCTGAACAAAACATACAACTTCGAGCTGTGAATTCAAAATGAGCACACGTTTGACCGTTGCATGCCTTGTGAGGCCCTGCGAACGTTGCGGTTCGGTGAGGCATGCCCCAAATGATCATCCTTGGTGAGTTCTGAGGCCGGATGAGGCCGGTTGAAAATACCATACATATGTTTGATTCTTTGGGATTTCGTGGCCAGGCATGTGCCAAACCCTTTTGGGGACATTTGGCCTGAGGCTCAAACCAGGCCAAGAAGTGCGTCTCCGACCACAAGGACGTTTGCAGCCCGGGCTTAACTGGAGTTTAAGCATGAATGTACCGACAATAGTGTGGATGGACAAATACCGCGCCCCGCTCCGGCTGGTAGGTGGTTTATCCCAGAGTTCATACCTATAGGGATTTATCCCAGGTGGCACAGGATTGTGTCCATCTGCAGCAATTGTGACTAGGGTATCGGTGTTCGACGATCCCCTATCAGTTTGGCAGATGGTAGGGGTAACGTTTCTTTCATGGTCCGCTATTCAAGCTTATTTGTTCAATAATGTCGGGCATTCATATTGTATCAAAGTGCTCCTGGCAATTGCTTTCATCCTTGACGGGGAACCAACCTTTGGCTTCCAACAAGTGGAAGAGTCTAAGATCACACCAAGTTGAAGGGCCTAAGGTCACAAGGTCTTAGCAAAGATCAATCATGTCGAGATTAAAGCATCTTCAAATGTCATATTTTGTTAGTAAGTATTTCTCCCAGCGGGCGAGACACATGCGAACCGATCACGGATTGGAAATTTGGGCTGCGGCTTGAGTTGGGCAAATCGGAATCTCAACGAGGTTTCAGCGGACACAAATTGTGGACAGCTGGATGTCCATTTGCCTTGTTAGAATGGTTTGTTTTTACTATTGTGTCCTTGTCAGTTTCAACTTGGCATGGTCACTGCTGGCAAATAATTTATGTACGTAGTTGGCAAGAGGATTCACAGGTGTGACCAGTAGACATCTTTACAACTTGTTGAACAAGAAGGCTTCTTGCCCCAAAGCAAACAGACGCTTGGGCCTTGGGGGCCCTTGAATGGGGATGCTCGCCTGGCGCAGAATCGCCTGGCCAAACCATGCAAGCTGGACGATTCCACTTGCATTGGTGTTGGTTGAGCCACTTCTTGAACCCAAAGGCTTTTCAATTTGTTCCCCTCCAAGTCGGATGGCAGGGTAACCTCAAATTGCGCCAGGGATGCTCCTGTATCGGGGCCGAAACACGTACTCCTTGCCAGCTGAGTTGGCAGACTGAAGCGGTTCGGTGGTAGGTTTCTTCACCATTTCAGTCATGACTCGATTTTTTTTAGCCTTTGTTGGCGAATCCATGCGTATCCTTGTAGGATCCAACCTGCCCCTTTTCTGGTTTCCAGGCCGCAGGGTCCGACTTTTGGGGAGCACCAAAAGCAGGTAGAGATTTGGATTCATGATATTCAGGGGAAACACCACCGAATCGGATCAGCTCAGGCAAGACAGCCTATGACATTGTGCTCCTTGGCCGAGACGAGCTTGGCAGCTTCGCCTTGTCCCACCCACTGATTGGCCTTAAAGGCGCCCCTGATTCGAATGTGTACTGTACCAAGGGGGTCACTTGACAACTTGGAGCCCAACAACAACATCATCCTTGGAGGATTCAACGCTTGGGAAGGACCCCGTTACACGCCAAGCTTGTTTAGCTTTCATTATTTTCCATGTAAAGCCACCCCAAAAAAAAGTACCACAACAGAAAGACGCTCACATCTAGCTTGGGCAACTGGGATCCGCTTCCGTCGCTGAAGGTCTGTAGCCAATGATTTGGGCCACTGCGACCGCAGTCGCTGCTCCGACGTGAGCTCTTTGGCAGCAGGGGTTCAATGGGCCACGGTAGAAATGGAATTGGGAGCAGGGAGTGTCAAGTGGTCTTGGAGTCCTTGGATATAGTTGTTCCAGCTTTTGCCCTTCCTGAGTCATGCGCTTTTAAGAACAAACTCAGGTGACATCCTCAACCGCACGCGGCGTTATTCTCGACCCTCGCCAAACCTTGTGAAACCTTACCTCAGAGCCGCCCCAGACCAACCCAGAGCCCTTCGCAGAACCCTGCCAAACCGTTGCAGAACTCTGCGGCACCCTACCTCACGGCCGCCCCGAAACACCCCGGAGCCTATCTGGGCTGAGGCACAGCAATCAGCTGTTGGGGAAAAACACAAGTTGAGTCGAGCGTTTTGTTGCTTCATGAGGGAGATTCGCCGTGCTTCAAGTTTGTTTCCCGATGTCCTAACTTACTTTGCGCATTGGTCCGAGAGCTGCGAATTGAAGCGGCGATGTTGCTCGGCGAAACGGTGATCTTGGGCTGCGAAACGGTGATCTATTTCGACAAGGCATTCAACAACCCTGCGGCAGCAACTAGCGTTGATCGGGCTTTGAACTGTGGCCGGCAACCAGCCTAGAAGGTTGCTGTCTTTAACCGCCAGTTTTTCAGCGAGACACAAAGAAAGAGTGCAGTTTGGCAAAATGCCTAATATTTTAATGTGGTGGGAGTTCTATGTCGGCCCTCTCAGCGAATGTGGCTGGCAAAATGGACCCAGTGGTTCTCCTTTCGGCGCCATCTCCACCCTTACCAATATTGGGCGGGGGTGTCAATAGCCCACCATGAACAAAGCGGAATCGGGAGAGGGGGTGACCACTTGTTTTAGGATTGCGTGGTTGCCTTGAACGAGCAAAAAATGGCTGTCCCCTTTAGTTTGGTACACATCCTGTGCCGCAGGCATTGACTGCAGCATGGCTGTGACCTATTTGACGGAGGACGGGGGAGCGCCAGATCAGCCGAGCGCCAGATCAGCAACAACTGTTTTGCCAGGGTTGGGCCTGTACAGAACTTGCCCTCTAAAACAAATGGAAACCCACAGGAGTGGCCAACCATATTACCCTTTTGGTTTTGGTTGAGTGCATAACACGGAACCCAGAAAACCTTATCATTCTTTAACCTGTCGCTGTTTTCCACATGTCCGACCTTGGGTTCGTTTCCCCACGGCGCTTGCTTTTTTTGGTTGAGCGCCAGGATCACATCAGCAACGTGACCTTCAAGGCTTCGACGGCGAAGTGGACCTATCTTTGCAGCTTGGCTCATCCAAGCGTTGGGCTATCCAATGTTTGCTTCACTGTTGTTGGCAGGTTGTTTTGTTTTTTAGATGGTTTTGTTAGTTCTGTTCACTTTTTTTCGTGGGGGCTGCAACAAGCTTGGTTTTGCCATGCCAGGGTTGTAAAGATGAATAGCCCTGGTTGACTCATTGGCGCTGCAGTCCCAACCTACCCCCAAAAGGCTTCGTGTCAATGCATCTTCCCATGTCTCACTATTTCCTGCGAAGGTTGGACTACTTCGGGAAATTTGCGCGAGACACGGTCTCAGAAACTAGCCATTTCGGGGTTGTGCTGGAGTAGAATCATAAAACAAAACAAGTTTTTGGTTCTCCCTTGGGTTGGGCCAAGTTTCTGGGTACCAGGAAGGAAGGGGAGTGGCAATCCGCGTGCTGACTTTTCTCAGGCGAGGATGCAGCCTTCAGCTGCCTGGAGAAGAACATGGCCTGGACCTTAGACCAGAGGATCTCTTTTGATTCGATTGTGCATTTTGAGGTCCACTACATATGGCCATGGTTCAAAACCAATGG